GCGATGTTTCTCTCTCATCGACGTTTCTAGCTATCTCTCTCCCTTCCTCTGTAAAAAAAAAATCAATAAAATATATTTTAAAAAATAAAATAAAATAAATAAAATTTCTTTTGAGAGCCAAATTTTTTAAACTTAAACTTCTTCTAGCGCCACTTCTTCAAAATAGACTCGCCCAGGCCGTGGTATTTTGTGGAAGAGCCACACACAAGGGGCCAAAGAGTGCATGTGGCTCGGGAGCCACAGTTTGCAGACTAGGGCCCTATACTAATGAAAGTTGATTTTAATGAATTTGTGAGGGAGGGGGGAATCTCAGATCTCTAAAGGGAAGTTCCACAGAAAGCCTTAGTACTTGTCTGCCATCCTACCATCACCTGCCTTTCTTGGCACTTACTTTGCAACCCCACCAAAAATATTCAGATCTCTTCATTTTTAAAGACTATTTTTCCCACCTCTCAAGTCTCTCTCTTAATTCCTCTGCTCCCCATCCCTCCTGTGACCCTATTCTGTCCTTCTATGTCTCTCACCTGTCCACCCCCTCCGTCACACTTCAGTTTACCACGTCCGCCCTCGCTGTTCTCTAACCTCCTGGTAGCAACCTCAGAAACTGGCTCCCTTTCTATTTTTATCAAAGCTAAAAAACCTACTGCCTTAGAGCACAGATCTTCTTTCTTTTTATTCGGGCCACTAAAACTGCAACACCAGATACCATCCCACATCCCTCTTTCTACAGGCTCTCAAACAAAATCATTACCAAGCTGAATTTGACAAGGTATGGCCAAGGGGAAGGATTATTTTCAAGGGACAGGATTTCCCCACTCAACTTGGATGTCCAACTTTCCCCATACGCGATCCGTGTGAGGCACACTACACAAAAGGCACTACTCGGTAGGTTTTACCACTCCATCCAAGGGACAGAGCATTCAAACAAAATCAAAGTGGCCTAACATTATCTGTGGGGATTGTGCAACTCCCTTTGAGGTAACTGAAAAAGCTGTAGGACAGAAAAACAGCCCAGAGCTGGAAATCTCTGCCGCAAGTAACATTTCACTAGATAAGAGCCCCAGGATTCTCCTCCCATAGAGGCAAGGGAGACCAAATGTCCAAGCTGCCTGCAGCAACAGGTTTCTTAAAAAAAAACAACAAAAAAATGTAGACAGGTTTGCTAAAGGCTGGAGCCTCTATCATAGTCACAAGACACTGGAGGTCAGGCGTGACCCATGACCCATCTAAGACCACACACCTTCTACTTGGCCCACAGTAAGTTTCCACCACTCGCTCCACCTATCTCAGGATCTAATCTAACCAGTAAATATGGCCGCATCCTGCCCGAGGAACTGAGCCAGCTCCGACCCGGAGCCCCCACCTGAACCTTCCAACAGCCCTTAGGAAGGAACCTCAGTCCCTCACGGCGACAGGCCCGGAGCCCTCCATAGCGCTTGGCCCCTTTCAAGCTTTGGACTCAGTCCCTCTCCTCGGTGAATCCTTTCACAGCCGGGCTGGGAGGGAGCAAGCCCCCCCCGAGCCCCCCTAACCAGGTGAGGACGGCAGGTGGGGCCACCCAGCGGGCCCTAGCCTCCCCTCCGGGCTCCGGGAGGAACGGGTGGGGCGCCCCCGGACCCCTTCCTGCCCTCCCTCCCGTAGTCAGCCTCAGCCTCCCGCACAGCATCGCCCGGGGCCAGGCCTCCGCACTCCCTCCTCCTTCCTCCCAGAGACGGAGAATTCCCGCCGCCCGCGGAGGGCGGGAGCAGCGCGGCTCGGCGCCCACCCCTCCCCCCGGAGCGGGACCTGCCGCGGCGCGGCCGCAACCTCTCCCCGAGGATGGCGACCCCCCCCCGCCCCGCCCCGCGGCCGGACCCCGGCCCCCGGCCCCCGGCCCGAGGGGCGGCCATCCTCTCCTCCCTCACAGCCCGGCCGCGAGAGGACCGCGGTCCCTCCCGGCCTCCCCTCCCGCCGTGGAGGAGCCGGAGCGGCAGCGCCCACCCGCCCCCGTCCCCCTCCCTCCCGCCGTCCCCGGGCTGAGAGAACCGACGCCGCTCCCGCCTCAGGCCGCCAACAGCCTCCCTTCTCCTCCGCAGGGTGAGGGGCGCCCAGAGCCCGCCGACGTGGAGATGGGGGCAGGGACACTCCCCCCTCCCGCCGCCATCACCTCAGGGACGAAAAACGAGCCGCCCTCCCAGCAGAGCGAGGGCCTCCCAACCCCTCAACGGGGCGGACGGCGGCGGACGTGGTCCCCTGAAGAAGCAACAGGCGCCCCCATCCTCCTCCCGGCCGGGGAGTGCCGACCCCCTCGCCCCTCCCGCACTTCACCTCCGGAAGCGGGGCCGAAGCCTGGGCGAAGACCTCTCCTCACTCCGCCCCCTGCGCCATTTTATCGCCCCTCTCCCCGACCTCCCCCACCCGAGGCAGCCCGGGCAGCGCCAGGGGGGCGGGCACACAGGCGATGATTGGCAGGACGGCGCCCCGCCCCTTAGGGGGTGGAGCTTCGCGCAGGCGCCGCAACCCCTCCCTCCGCACCGCCTACCCAGACTACTGGCTCCGCCTCGTCTCGTCTCATCGACCCGCTCGACTTTCTTCTGCTCCTGCCTTCCGACCACCTCACGCCGACGGGTCCAAGCCGAGCCAGCCGAGCGACGAGCTCAGCTGATGCAACCTGACAGTACACTTCCCGGCACGAGGAGGCGGCGGCGGCGGCGGCGCGGACCGAGGGCGAGAGCGAGGAAAGGGCGCAGTGCTGGATTGAGCCCGGAAGACAAGGGCGACGGAGCCATGGGAGATGCTCTGAGCCCAGAAGAGAAGCTGCACCTCATCACCCGGAACCTTCAGGTCAGGCCTGAGAGTGGGAAACGCGCTGTTGGGGACTGAGGACCCAACCAACGTTCAGAGATGCTGAACCCCACTACGAGATCCTAAGTGTATGGGGCCGGGGACTCCGCGCCAAAGCCGCGGTGAGATAGCCTGCAGTCCTCACTGCGGGTCCGTCAGTCAGTCAGCCAGTCAATTATCCGGGTGCCACCGCAACCCCATCGGGCTCACCTCCTGTATGCAGTTACCTGTGTTGAACCAGACTTTGAATTCGGACTCCCACCCTATTATGTGCCAGGCGCGGTGCTAGGTAATGGGGATACGCCAAGGCTCTGCCCACCCCACAGATTGTCTGAAGGGAATCAGACGTTAAAAATGACTTATAATCCAAGCACTTTAATTACAGTTGAGGAAGGTACTGTAAATTACTTATACACGAAACCTAGAAAAGAAATTAGGGGAGACAACTGGGGTGTCAGGGGAGATTAGAGACGTGACCTTTAAACCACATCCTGAAAGCTGCAGATCATCTCTTCACTTATGTTCCTGCACAGCAGGAGTGGGAGTTAACCAGGGGGAAAATGGCGGTGGAGGGTGGGACATTTCAGGTAAAAACACAGATCCAACCCAGAGGAAAGCCTAACCGCCGTAGCTCAGTGGTTGAGCTTCGACCTATGAACCAGGAGGTCACCATTCATTTCCGGTCAGGGCACATTCCCGGGTTTCCGGCTCGATCCCCAGTAGGGGGCGTGCAGGAGGCAGCCAATCAATCATTCCCTCTCATCATTGATGTTTCTAGCCCTTTCTCCTTCTCCCTTCCTCTCTGAAATCAATAAAATTATGTATAATTTTTAAAAATTAAAAAAAAAAAGACCCAGAGGAGAGCAAAAAACACTGTGGTTCAGATAGGAGGCTAATTTGGCTGGAGTAGAGTGTCCCAATTACTAATTTTACTAGGGACGTAGCACAGGTGACCTAGGGTTCCTCAGCCACCTAGTGGACTTATACGGAGCTGCCAGGTACTTAAACTTGACCGAGCCTAAATTCCAACACTAGGAGACAAACATTAATTGCACGAATCACACACGGTTTATTTACCTAAGGCCTGGTGAGTTCCAGAACTCGGCAAGCCACCCGGAGAGCCACGCTGACAGACTCACACAGGACATGGTTGCAGCTGCAGCTGCAGCTGGGAGTCGGTCGAGGCCTGGAGGTTCACGGAGAGTCGGTTGAGCTGAAACAGAGCTCCCGCAGAGCTTCGAGCAGGAGTGGAAAGGGGAGCGGAGAGCGACCGTCTCTGCTTGATACCTCCAATCTTGCTTCTTTTATAGCCATTTCTGGGCGTTCCTCTGAGTCTTATCAGTGGGTCCCAGGCTTGTAACGGTTCTGGTTCCAGGCGGGAGTTGCTAGGGTGTTCACCCAGTTGCTAGGGTGTTCACCCAGTTCCTGGGGCGTGCACACAGTGATTAGGTATAATATTCACTCTTAAATATAACAGATTCATATATTAGGTATTGAATTATATAATGCTAATTGTTAAATACAATTCACACAATTATAACTATAACAGTAGAGTGCGCAAAATGTAGATCAAACACTTTATCTTTTTTTTAATATGTTTTATTGATTTTTTTACAGAGAGGAAGAAAGAGGGATAGAGAGTTAGAAACATCGATGAGAAAGAATCATGGACCAGCTGCCTCTTGCATACCCCCTACTGGGGATGTGCCGGTAACCAAGGGTACATGCTCTTGACCAGAATTGAACTCAGGACCTTTCAGTCCACAGGTCAATGCTCTATCCATTGAGCCAAACCATTTTGGCCAAACACTCTATCTTTATATGTATTGCCCTTTCCCTTGCCTCCTTCAAGCTCTCTATTGTCATCTTTATTTGGAAGGCCTTTCCAGAAGCACTTTGTTTCCATAACAAATCACCTGCCACCAGAATTATATCTCTTGCTCTGGCTTTTTTTTTTTTTAATATATTTTATTGATTTTTTACAGAGAGGAAGGGAGAGAGATAGAGCTAGAAATGTCGATGAGAGAGAAACATCGACCAGCCGCCTCTTGCACATCCCCTACTGGGGATGTGCCCGCAGCCAATGTACATGCCCTTGACCAGAATTGAACCTGGGACCTTTCAGTCCGCAGACCAACACTCTACCACTGAGCCAAACCGGTTTCGGCTCTGCCTTTTTTTGTGATTGCTTTCTCACAGAACTTATCACCAACTGATATACTATACATTTTACTTGTATGTTTAGGAGAAGTATAGGGACCAGGTCTTTGAGGTTCTTTTTTTTTTTTTAATATATTTTTTTATTAAATTATTATTTTTGTACATATACCAATGCCCCCCTCTCCCGTACATGCCCTCCCTCCCCAGAGTTTTGTGTCCATTGGTTGTACTTATATGCATGTATACAAGTCCTTCAGTTGATCTCTTATCTCCCCCAGATCTCCCCAACCTCCCCGCTGTAATTTGACAGTCTGCTTGTTGCTTTACTATCTCTATATCTATCTTTTGGTTCTTCAGTTTATAATGTTCTTTATCATCCATAAATAAGTGAGGTCATGTGTTGTCTCTCTTTCATTGACTGGCTTGTTTCACTCAGCATCTTTGAGGTTCTTGTAAGCTGGGATTTTAGCCCTAGCCGGTTAGGTTCAATGGATAGAGCGTGGGCCTGCTAACCAAAGGGTCTTGGGTTCAATTCCAATCAAGGGCACATACTTGGTTGCAGACTTCTCCCCAGCCTGGGCCCTGGTTAGGGCTTGTGCAGGAGGCAACCAATTGATATGTTTCTCTCAAATCAATGTTTCTTTTTGTCTTTCCCTCTTTCCTCCACTGTCTCTAAAAATCAATGGAAAAATATCCTCAGGTGAGGAGTAACAAGAAATAAATAGATAGATAGATAGATAGATAGATAGATAAAATGATAGATTAAAAATAAAATTGGGATTTTATTCTAAGAGTAGTATTAAGTCATGGCCTTTTTCCTCTTTTTTTTTTTTGCAATACAATTCACATACCATAAAATTCATCCTTTTAAAGTGTAAAATTCACTAGTTTTATTGTAGTTACAAAGTTGTGCAAGTGTCACCATTATCTATTTCCAGAACACTTAGCACCCTCAAAAATCTATACCCCTTTACAATCACTCCCCATTCTTGCCCACACTCCAATCCTAGGGAAACACTAATTTATATCTCTATGTATTTGCCTATTCTAGACATTTCACATAAATGGAATCATACAAAATATGGCCTTTGTATCTAACATCTTCCATTTAGCATAATGTTTTCAAGGTTCATTCATGTTGTACCTATCAAAACCGCATTCCTTTTTTATGGCTGAATAATATTCCATTTCATGGATTAAACCAGATTTTGTTTATCTATTCATCAATTAATGAACATTTGAGTTACTTCCACTCATAACTTAACCTTGACCAGAGAATTTTGCATGCTTCCCCCTTGTTTCCTAGCCTCTCTCCATAAAATAGTGCTGGTTGGCAATGGACACAGAACTCTGGGGAGGGAGGAGGGAAGGTATGTATGGGAGGGGGTTAAAATATGTACACAGATAATAATTTAATAAAAAAGTGTAAAAGAGAGAAATAAATAAATAAATAATTGGGAGGGGGAATAGTGCTGGTTGGGAAAAGGATATACAAAGCTAATGGCATTGACTTGCTCAGGGTTTTTTTTTTGTTGTTTTTTTTTTAATAAGTTTTTATTGTTCATATTATTACAAATGTTCCTTTTTTTCCCCCCACCATTGCTCTCCTCCATCAGGTTCCCACCCCACCCTCTGCCCTTTCCCCACTCCCCATTGTCCTCATCCATAGGTGCACAGTTTATGTTCAGTCTCTTTCCACACCCCCCTCTCCCCTTTTTCCCAAGAATCGTCAGTTCACTCCCCTTCCATACCTCTGATTCTATTATATTCAACAGTTACTATTGTTCAGCAGATTTTTAATTTCCTTGGTTTTTAGATTCACTTGTTGATAGTTACGTATTTGTTGTTCATAATTTTTATCTTTATTTACTTTCTCTTCTGAAAGAACCCCCTTCAGCAATTCATATAATTCTGGTTTGGTGTTGATGAACTCCTTTAGCTTTTTTTTATTAGTGAAGCTCTTTATCTGGCCTTCGATTCTGAGTGATAGCTTTGCTGGATAGATTATCTTTGGCTGCAGGTTCTTACTATTCATCACCTTGAATATTTCTTGCCATTCCCGTCTGGCCTGCATGGTTTCTGTTGAGAAGTCAGCTGACAGTCGTATAGGTGCTCCTTTATAGGTAACTACCTTCTTTGCTCTTGCTGCTTTTAATATTCTCTCTTTGTCTTTTGCTCTTGGAATTTTAATTATGATGTGTCTTGGTGTGGTCCTCTTTGGATTCCTTTTGTTTGGAGTTCTGTGCGCTTCCTGGACTTGTAAATCTAATTCTTTCACCAGGTGGGGGAAATTTTCTGACACTATTTCTTTCAGTATGTTTTCGATATCTTGCTCTCTCTCATCTTCTGGGACCCCCATAATTCTGATGTTGGTTCGCTTGAAGTTGTCCCAGAGGTTTCTTACATTATCTTCAATTTTCTGGATTCTCTTGCCTTCTAGCTTCTGTGGAGGAGTGTCTTCTGGCTCTTTATGTTCCAAATCTTTGACTTGATTCTTGCGATCTTCCATTCTGTTTTTAGGACTATGTATAATATTTTTTATTTCAGACAATGTATTCTTTATTTCTTGTTGACTCCTTATTAATTCTAGTTGATCTCTTTTCATATCCTCATAGGTCTTATCCATCTTTCTAGGAAATTCTTGAAAAACCTTATAAGCGTAGATTTGAACTCTATATCCAGTCGCTTTTTGTCCTCCATTTCTTTCGTTTGTGTTGTCGCATTTCGCAGCTACAGATGGGATGGGGTTTCAGGGTGGAGCCTGCAGCCTTGGCTTCCGTCAGCCCCGCCCTATGCGGGTCCTTCAGTGCTCGCTGCTAGTGCCTCTGAGAGAAAGGTGCCCTCGATTTTCGCCTGCTACCAAACAGTCTAGGCTTTCCCCCAATGAGCCTGGTATTGGGGTTCAGTTCAGTTGGAAGTGCAGTTGGAAGTGGCGTTCAGAGCAGTCCGGAGCCCCTGTCTCCTTCCCGCCAGGCAATCCCGCGGCACAGCCGACCGTCCCTTCTCTGCACGCAATGTGCCGCTGGGACCTCCTTTCGCCGCTCCCCCGGGGTTCCGCCTTACAGTCCAGCTCCCTCTGTGTGAACCTGGGTCCCGGGGTCTGGCCTAGAACTGGGGTTCAGAGGCCCAGCACAGTCGGAATTTTATCTCCTTCCCGCTAGGGAACGCCCACCAGGCACTCAGCCTCCCTCCTCTCTGGCTCCGTCCTCTTTGCGCTGTGTGTCTCCGTACCTTGGGCTTTTCCAGCTCCTCCGCGCTTCCTTCTGGTTTTCTCCTTGCTTCTCGTTGTAGAATTTCCAGTCAGTCGACTTTCCTGTAGTTCTGGGTAATGTCCATTTTATATTTTAGTTGTATTTTATTAAAATTGTTGTGTGCGGCTGCGGCTAGGTGTTTACTTGGGAGCAGCCATCTTGGATCCTGACTCGCTCAGGTTTTAAAGGGTAAGTGATAGGACCTTTCCTTGGGTAGAAGAACCTTCCAAGCATCCAAATAAGTCAGGGGCTTGGAGGATACAGGATCAACCTCCAATCTGCTTAGAGCACAGAATTTTAACAAGTCCAACTTTAATAGATAATCCAACCAGCAAGACGATTTTTGTCACCATGGCTTCCAACAATCACTTGAACAAACACTGAAATCTCTTTTTATCTGTAACATGCCAATTTATTAAGGTTTTTCCAATATATCTTAGGGCAAAAGGAAATTATTAAAGTATTTAAACAGGTAAATGAGTTCATCAAACTTTGGGTTTTAAAGATCTCTCTGGCTGGCTTTTGGAGAATGGGTTAAAAAGCAAAAGATTAGATATGGGAGATCTGTTAGGCTGCTGTTTTAATCTTGGTGTAATCTTATGGTGGCCTAGATAGGGTGGTGGGATAGAGGTGGAGAGAAGTAGAAGGGCTTAAAAGCTGGTTTCGGAGTGATGTATGCAACTTGAATAATAGTACCATTTACTGAAAGAATGGTTGGGGAATAAGGTGGAAAGATGAAAGCATGAGCTTTTAATTTTGAACACGTTGAGTTTGAATTAACCGGGGTGATAAAAAGTACACAGTTCTATACAGGGGTGTGAGCAGGAGATTTGGTAGTTACTAGCTCATAAGTAGTAATTGAAGCCACTGAAGGAGATCAGGGAGGATGTAAACTGAGAATGGCTGATATTACTAATATTTTGTGATTCGGGGGAAGAACAGATGCAAAAAACTCAGACCCGGCAGCCAAAGTAGGAGGAAAACTAAAAATGTAATAGAAGAGACCGAAAGTAGAGAGTGTTTCAGGGAGTGAGTGAGAATTGAATTTAGCAACTTGGAGACCATCTGTGATTTAACAAGAGCATTTTCAGTGATGTGATGCAGCCTGGAATTCAAACTCAAATGGAAGAAGAGAGAACTTTTTTAACAAGTTGGCTTTGAAAGGAAGGAGCATGAGTTAGAGGTAGTTAGATGGGAAGATGTGGTTGGGAACATGCCCCTGTTGTGGGGTCGAACCCTGGGTTCAAAATAAGACCACCGGAGGCTGATTAATTAATTAAAAAAAAAAAAAAAAAAAAAGCAGGCAAGGATTTATTGAACTGGCCAGGACAGCCATGAGAGCACCACACACAGATGGTCTCACACGACTGCACCGTTTCAGGGGTAGGCAATTCCTTTTTAAAGTTTAAACCGCAAGAATTTTCCTGTTGTTCCTAAATCCTAAAGACTAAATTCTAAAGACTGGGGGCAGCCCGCAGGGTCAGTTCCCAGTCACATCCTGCTGGACACTGGAATGTGGCCCTATCTTGCGATAGCGATAACACAGAAGCAGAGCTCAGCGGTTAGTCTCTAAAGGTTATCTACAGTTTCTATCCCTGAAGCTACTGAGTCAGTGGGAATCAATCTCCTGTGGGCCTGGTCCCAGGCAAGGGAAAATTGCCTTAGCCTCCAGGTCTCCACCTGGAAGCTGAGGTAAGTACCCAGTGTTTTAATCAGATGCAAGAGCCAGACTTAGCAGGGTTAAAATTCAAACAGCAGTTTTTACCAAAGTATGGTTGCCACTATATTTCACCCCATCCCCCTAACATCACTGTCATTTCACTGGAGTGGTACTAGCAACACCACCAGCGTATATTGGCTCCCACTCTCCACTGAGACCGTGGCTGGAGCCCCTGCTGGCTCTGAGCTTGGACACACACCCACCGCCCCGCCCCCCCCCCTAACATGTGCCTTTGTTTTCCTTGTCACAGGGTAAAGGATGAGCAAGGTGGGGCGCCGGCATTAAATCAGCTCTTCTGCTTCCACCACAGGAGGTTCTGGGGGAAGAGAAGCTGAAGGAGATCCTGAAGGATCGGGAACTTAAAGTTTACTGGGGAACAGCGACCACAGGCAAGCCGCATGTGGCTTACTTCGTGCCCATGTCTAAGATCGCAGACTTCTTGAAAGCAGGATGTGAGGTAAGCTATAATATTTAAACCAATCAGTTGTCCTGGGGGACTGGCCAAAAGAGGGACTTCACAAGGGCTGGGCAGGGCAGGGAGGGGAGTGTGGAGGTCCTCAGGCAAATTCACATTTTCCTGGTTCCTGATCTCTTATGTCCAGGTAACAATCCTATTTGCGGACCTTCACGCATACCTGGATAACATGAAAGCCCCATGGGAACTTCTAGAACTCCGAACCAGCTACTATGAGAACGTGATCAAGGCAATGCTGGAGAGTATTGGTGTGCCCTTGGAGAAGCTCAAGTTCATCAAAGGCACCGATTACCAGCTCAGCAAGTAAGTGCTTGATCACCCACATTCCTCCTGGCTCCGATGCTCCTCGCTAATTACAGGTCTGTGGCATCTAGGCACTCTTAAATTTGGACTAGTAGCTGTTTGGCTCTACCTGTTAACCATTTAAAAATGTATTCCTTTTGTCCCTTTAATTCATCCATTGAAAATGTACTGACTAGTAAATGCCTAGATATCTCCATTTGCTGGAGATGTAAATGTAAATCATAACAACAGTCCTTGGCCTTACAGAGCTCACAGCATATGGGAAAGCAATGATGAGCAATTCAGCCTTCCTTTCTCCTTCCAGGCTCAGCAAATATTGATAAAAAGAAATGTGAAAGAAAAGTATTTCGCTTGTTTATCACCTCCCCAACAACTTTTATTGCTTGTCAGTTTCATTCATGTTTGTGATGTTAGAATACATATGATTTTGTGCCCTCCTTTGTTTTAAATATTTTTTTTATTGATTTCAGAGAGAGAGAAAGAACATCAATGATGAGAGAGAATCATTGATAGGCTGCTTCCTGCATGCCCCCCACTGGGGATGGAGCCCGCAACCCAGGCATGTGCCCTGACTGGGAATGGAACCATGACCTGGTTCATAGGTTGACACTTAACCATTGAGTAATGCTGGCCGGGCACTAGGTCCTTTTTCTTAAACTGAGCAATGGGTACACTATTCTTAAGACATAGAAGATAGTTTGAGAAATTCTGATGTTTATTTAATAGGCATTCCAGAAAAGGAGAATGGAGGGGAATGGAATACATAACAGTGAAGTAGTATTTTGAATGAAAGGATGGGCCACTCACATTTTAAAAGCTAGTAGGCAGTGCTCTCTTGAAACGTCTTAAGATTGGGAGAGTGAATTAGTGTGCTTTAGGATTAAACTGAGGCCTGGGCATGGTTTTAACTGTCTGCTCTTCCTTTCCTCTTCAGAGAGTACACGCTAGACGTATACAGACTCTCCTCTGTGGTCACACAGCACGATGCCAAGAAAGCTGGAGCTGAGGTGGTCAAGCAGGTGGAGCACCCTTTGCTGAGTGGTCTGCTGTACCCTGGACTACAGGTACTTACGAGGGATGGGGTTACCTAGTGATCTTTTCTGTTCTGCTTCTAACCACTGGTCCAAACCTCTCTCTCGGCCTAATTAAACTGATGCACTAGCTGTTCCTTCACAATGCGGTGGCCTTCCTTTCTGTCTCCCTCCTCCTCCTCCACCTGCCTTCATTTCCTAAAACCTCTGGCTCTTTCAGTTGTAAGTTTCCCCTACCTATCTGTCATTTAACTGCTCACCTGCCTTAGCCAGTTTGGCTCAGTGGATAGAGCATTGGCCTGAGGACTGAATGGTGTGGGGGTTCGATTCCGGTCATGGGGACATGCCCGGGTTATAGGCCTGATCCCCAGTAGGGAGCTGCAGAAGGCAGCCAGTTGTGAATCTCTCTCATCATTGATGTCTCTATCTCTCCCTCTCCCTTCCTCTCTGAAACCAATAAAAACATTTTTTTTTTAAAAGCAAAAAATGCCAAAACCGGTTTGGCTCAGTGGATAGAGTGTCGGTCTGCAGACTGAAAGGTCCCGGGTTCGATTCCGGTCAGGGGCATGTACCTTGGTTGCAGGCACATCCCCAGTAGGGGGCATGCAAGAGGCAACTGATCGATGTTTCTCTCTCATCGATGTTTCTAACTCTCTATCCCTCTCTCTTCCTCTCTGTAAAAACTCAATAAAATATATATATATATAAAAACAAACAAACAAACAAAAAAACTACTGCTCATCTTGCAAACCTTCTCTAAGTTGACCAAAATCTCTTGAAAATTAATTTCAGAGCAATGTGTGAAAATAAATTTTAGGCATGATCCTATTTTCCATTAAACAAAACCAGCTCATCCTATTTCATGTGTGCACACTTATAAGAACAAGGAGAAAGATGGAAAAAAAAACAAATGAAGCTGTTAATATTGGTTACTTTACGAAGAAAGGATGAAAATGTAGATAGATGCCGAAACTGGTTTGGCTCAGTGGATAGAGCGTCGGTCTGTGGACTGAAAGGTCCCAGGTTCGATTCCGGTCAAGGGCATGTACATTGGTTGCAGGCAGAACCCTGGTAGGGGGTGTGCAGGAGGCAGCTGGTCGATGTTTCTTTCTCATTGACGTTTCTAGCTCTCTATCCCTCTTCCTTCCTCTCTGTGGAATATCAATAAAATAAAATTTAAAAAAAAAATGTAGATAGACAACTTTTTCTTTGTATATTTCTTTCTTTTTTCTTTTTTCTTTTTTTTAAAAAATATTTTGTTACTGATTTCAAAGAAGGGAAAGGGAGAGATAGAAACAACAACGATGAGAATCATCGATCGCCTGCCTCCTGCACGTCCCCTACTGGGGATTGAGCCCACAACCTGTACAAGTGCCCTTGACCAGAATCAAACCTGCGACCCTTCAATCTGCAGGCTTATCTCTATCCACTGAGCCAAATTGGCTAGGGCTCTTTATATATTTCTATAATGTTTGATGTAAGAAATTATTCCTCCCTTGTCACCTCCAAGGGATCTTTCCAAAGGTTAAACCTGAAGACTTTATCAATCTACACTGTCCATTGTGATAGCCTCTGGTTACAGCTATATATGGTTGTTAAAAGTAATTAAAATTAGCCCTCACCAGGTGCTCAGTTCATTGGAGCATCACTCATATACCAAAAGGTTGCAGGTTCAATCCCCAGTCAGGATTTGATTGATATTTCTCTCTCACATCAATGTTTCTCTTTCTCTTCCTCTCTCTCTCTCTCTCTCTAAAAATCAATAAATAATCTCAGGTGAGGATTTTAAAAATAATAACTTTTAAAAATATATTTTTATTGATTTCAGAGAGAAAAGGAGAGGGAGAGAGAGGTAGAAACATCAATGATGAGAGAGAATTATTGATCAGCTGCCCCTTGCACACCCCACACTGGGAATAGAGCCTGCAACTCAGGCATGTGCCCTGACTGGGAGTCAAACTGTGCCTCCTGCTCAACCACTGAGCCACACCATCAGGCAGTATTATTATTTTTTTTAAGTAATTAAAATTTTAGTTCTTTAGTCACATCGGCCATATTACAGTTGCTCATGAGCCACATGTGACTAGTGGCTATCAGGTTGGACATCAAAGATATAGAACATATTTATCATCACAGTAAGTTCTTTTGGACAATGCTATTCTAGATTCTTCCTGCTTGCTCCTCTTTCTCTACCTCTCCTTACTTTTCCCCCCATCCAGACACTAAATTTTATCAATTCTGCTTCTTAAAAAAAAAATCTCTTAAATTCAATCCTGCTCTACATCCCCACTGACATGATTCGTCATTATTTCTCACCTGGACTCTCACAGCAGCTTTCTAGATATTTTCTTCATCTCCAACTCATGGCCTCCATTCCATGCTCTGCCCTCTTAGTGGTGTGATTTTTTACAGTATAGGTCAGGTTTCTCCCTGCCTTAAAACCATTCACTGTCAGGGAGATTGCTAGGCACCCTAGCATGACAAAATTACCTGTTTATATGTCTCTTCTCATCTGGGTAATTGGTTCCTCGAAGGCTGAATCTGGGTTTGACTCATCTCTGCGTCTACTGGGCTGAACTAGGCCTGGCGTGTATTAAGTGACAGTCTTTGTTTACTAGGTTAGCCTTGCCTTTTTTTCCTGCGCTCTCTCAGCACTTTCCTCTGCCTATTTATTTATTTATTTATTTATTTATTTATTTATTTTTACAGAAAGGAAGGGAGAGGGATAGAGAGTTAGAAACACTGATGAGAGAGAAACATCAATCGGCTGCCTCCTGCACACCCCACACTGGGGATATGCCTGCAACCAAGGTACATGTCCTTGACCGGAATAGAACCTGGAACCCTTCAAGTCCGCAGGCTGACACTCTATCCATTGAGCCAAACCAGTTAGGGCCCTCTGCCCCTTATTTACCATTTTTCATAGGCTTCATTAGGCAGTGGGTACATTCGACATGGCTGGTGAAAAGTTTCTGGTTACCTAGATGCATATAGAAGAAATATAGTAGGAGTTGATGCTCATGTGTTCTCTCCACAGGCCTTGGATGAAGAATATTTGAAAGTAGATGCCCAGTTTGGAGGCGTTGATCAGAGAAAGATTTTCACCTTTGCAGAGAAGGTTCGTATTCTCTTTTTTTTTCTTTCTTTCTTTTGAGCCTCAGAGAAATGCTGAAAATGCCAGTCCTGCCACTTATAACCATATTGTATGGCAAGTATTCTTTTCCTTTGTTTTGCAGATGAGAAAACTGAGCTAGAAAAAGTAAGGAAGTTGTTCAGTATTTCAGTTAGTGGCCAGGCAAACAGCTCAGTTTCCAGGGAAGGCACTGCTGTTCTTTCCCAGAGCATTGGTCTGTTTGCTCAGGGTTTTATATGAACCACTCAGCTCTAAGATGAGGGTTAGTAGTGCTTAAAGGAGGAAATTAGTACAAGCCCATAATAGTTTGTTGTTGTTTTTTTCTGGGAAAGAGCTTGAGTAAGTTGAAAAGAGCTTTTGAGAAGCAGTTGGTATTTTTGTAAGCATCTCAAAACCTCACATTGGCAAGGGTGCAGAGAAAAACACTGCTAGTGGAAATGGCTGGAGGGTGGTTTGACAACACTAAAATGTTTCTGTCCTTTGCCCTAATAATTATGAAAATTTAGCCTAAGAAAATAATTTTAAAAGTACAATTTGAGTTATGTATGAAAGTATTTATCATATTATTAACTTAAAGCAAAAATCTAGAAATAAATTTACATCCAGTGACGAGGGATTGGTTAATACATTATAATAAAGCTTCACATTGGAATATTATTTAATTTTTTAATGGTTTTTAGATATATTTAGTGACTGGGGAAATGTTTACAATGTAAATGTTTTATAATTTTATAATATATATTTTTTAATATTGATTATTAGAGAGGAAAGAAGAGAGAGAGAAACATCGATGAGAGAGAGAAATAACAATTGGTTGCCTCCTGTATACATCCCAACTGGGGCTTGAACCCACAACCTGGATATGTGCCCTGACTAGGAATTAAACCCACAACCCTTCAGTATATGGGATGATGCTCTAACCAACTGAACTACACCAGCCAGGGCAGTTTTTATATATTTTTAAGGGTTATAAAAAAAATTGTTAATTATGTAAAAGAGACTATATGTGTGGCCCACAAATCCTAAAATATTTAGTATCTTGCCCTTTACAGAAAAATTTTGCCCATTCCTGCCCTAGAGATAACTTGTATCCTTGTAATTTATTATAGTTTAAGTTAGATATTTTTATCTCTTCCCAACAATGCAAAAACCAATATATATATCCCCCAAAGGCTTCATTGTAATTGTTTAGTAAACATTTTTCATGAATACTTACCATTACTCACCCTTTCTGATACTTTTTAAAAAAAATATATTTTATTGATTTTTTACAGAGAGGAAGGGAGAGAGATAGAGAGCTAGAAACATCAATGAGAGAGTAACATCGACCTGCTGCCTCTTGCACACCCCCTACCGGGGATGTGCCCGCAACCAAGGTACATGCCCTTGGCCGGAATCGAACCTGGGACCTTTCAGTCCGCAGACCGACGCTCTACCACTGAGCCAAATCGGTTTCGGCCCTTTCTGATACTCTTGATTTCTTCTTGTAATTCTATGTCTCTATGCTTCCATCTGGGATCATTTTTCTTTTTTTTTCTTTTTTTTAAATATATTTTATTGATTTTTCACAGAGAGGAAGGGAGAGAGATAGAGAGCTAGAAACGTCGATGAGAGAGTAACATCGACCAGCTGCTTTCTGCACACCTCCTACCGGGGATGTGCCCGCAACCAAGGCATATGCCCTTGACCAGAATTGAACCGGGACCTTTCAGTCCGCAGACTGACGCTCTACCACTGAGCCAAACCGGCCTTGGCTGGGATCATTTTTTTTTAGTCTAGAGCCCCCTTAGTATTTTGTGTTTGTAGTGAAGGTCTCTTGGTAATGAGTTCTTTCAACTTTTATCTGCAAAATCTTTCTTTTGCTTTCAGTGGGTATAAATTCTAGGTTGACCGTTATTTTTCTTTTAGCCTTTAATTTTTAATTTTTATTTTTTATTTTTTATTGATTTTTTATAGAGAGGAAGGGAGAGGGATAGAGAGTTAGAAACACCCATGAGCTGAAACCGATTTGTCTCAGTGGATAGAGCTTCGGCCTTCGGACTGAAAGGTCCCAGATTCGATTCCGATCAAGGGCATGTACCTTGGTTGCTGGCACATCCCCAGTAGGGGATGTGCAAGAGGCAGCTGATCGATGATTCTCTCTCATCGATGTTTCTAACTCTATCCCTCTCTTTTCCTCTCTATGAAAAATCAATAAAATATATTTTTTTAAAAGAAAAAAGAAAGAAACATCCATGAGAGAGAAACATCCATCAGCTGCCTCCTGCACACCTCTACTGGCAATGTGCCCACAACCAAGGTACACTAGTCCGCAGGCCAACGCTCTATCCACTGAGCCAAACCAGTCAGGGCTCTTTTAGCCTTTTAAAAAGTTGTCTCATTGCCTCTGGCTTCCATATTTCTACTAAAAAGCTGCCTATAAGTGTCATGTGTCAGATAATATTTTTTTTTTTTCTGGAAGTTTTAAAGGTTATTTCTTGGTCTCTCATTTTCAACAATTTGACGATAATGTTTTTTTGCTACAGTTTTCTTTGTATTTATCCTGCTTGGGTTTTGCTGAGCTCCTTAAATCTCTGGGTTGACATGCTTATCAAATTTGGAAAATTGTCCCCTATTATTTCCTTAAATATTGCTTCTGTCCTTTTCTTGGTCTCTTCTCCTGGGACCCTAATATATATATATATGTTAGACCTCTAATATTCTGTTTTCCTTTCTTTGTTCCCTCTGTGCTTTAGTTTGGATATTCTCTATTGACTTTTCTTCAAGTTTATTTATCCTATCTTCTGTTAAATGTATTCAGTATTGTGTTGTGCCTTTTTAGAACTTCCATTTGATTCTTCTTTATACATTCCGATTCTTGTTTACGGTTCTCCATCTTTTATCCCATTTTTTCCTTTTCCTCTATTCCCTTTAACACACTAATCATGATTATTTTGACACTTTGATCTGCTTATTCCAATACCTGGAAGGTCTGTCACTCTGTTTTTGTTGACTATTTTAACTATCAGTTACTTTTTTCTGCTTTTCATTTCTAGTACTTTTTTTTTTACTGTATCCGAGTAATTGTAGATACGTTATAGGAGCTCTGGATTATGTTTATAAAGTAATACGTTTTTGGTAGACTGTTAAGTTACTGATTTATCACCTTGATCCTGTCAGGGGTTGTTTTTAGACTCTGTTAGAACAGGTCCATTACAGTTTTACCCTTGTTCCCTTGATGTGGTTTTATTCTTAGGCTGTGGCTTTTCTAGAGCCTCATACTGAAATTTCAAGGTGTTCACAGAACCCACACTATTTTGATTGAACCTAAATTTCAAGTTCTGTCTCAAGATCCGGCACTGTGCAGCCTCTGAAATCTCTGCCCAGGTGTCCAGCCTCCGGAACCTGTTCTCTGCTGGGCTTTCTGGGGTCTCACCATGTGCATGCACAGCCACGTGTCTCAGCGGGGAATTTCGACTTAGGTATTTAGAGGAGGGAATCCCTTCTCTCTAGAACCCTTCCCAAATCCTAGCCTCCTGACAGCCCTACACTTCGGTCTCAGCTGCTTTTTTTCTCAGTTCCCAGTTTGAAAAATATTCCCTCACAGGGAAAGCCAGGGTGAGTGTGTGGTCACTGTTGCTTTCCCTTCTCTCAAGATGTGTAGCAATACACCTCTTACTGTCAATGCCTACAAATGGTTATTTTATGTATTGCCAGGTTGTATAGTTGCTTATGATGAGAGAGTAAATCCATTAGCCTCACAATATAATACTAATAGAAAAGCTTGGCGAGCGGGGGACACACATACACACACACACACACACACACACACACACACACACACACGACTTTGTTTACATTACGATCACCATTAAAAGCTATATATTTGAGTATGAGTGATGAGGGAGAATCATTGATTGGCCTGGCTGGTGTGGCTTGGTAGTTGAACATTGACCTATGAACCAGAAGGTCATGGTTCAATTACCCATCATGGCACATTTCTGGGTTGTGGGCTTGATCCCCAGTAGGGGGCATGCAGGAGGAGGCCAATCAATGATTCTCTCTCATCACTTATATTTCTATCTCTCTCTCCCTCTCCCTTCCCTTCCGCTTTGAAATCAATAAACATATTTTTTAAATAAAGAAAGTTGGCATTCAGTAGAAAAAAGACATTGGAAGGAATATATGAAACAACTAAGTTGCTGGCCAAGTTAGATGATATTAGCGTACTGAGGAGGAGTTTATCCTAATATCTGCATTGTTTCTTTCTAACCCCTCAGTATCTCCCTGCACTCGGATACTCAAAACGGGTCCATCTGATGAATCCTATGGTTCCAGGATTAACTGGTAGCAAAATGAGTTCTTCAGAAGAGGTAAGTGCCAACTCTGACTTGGGTTTAGAAATCTGCAATAAGAGAAGAAGAGATTAAGGTCTCAAAAGAAGAGTAATTTAGCTAACTAGAAGTCTCAAATACTTGAGTAATAAGTTATCTTAAATCAGTCAGTTAATTCCAGTGGTTCTTGAGTACCTAAGGACCCCAGAAACAGTCCTGATGATTTTTTTTTTATTATATTGATTTTTTACAGAGAGGGATAGAGAGTTAGAAGCATCGATGAGAGAGACACATCGATCAGCTGCCTCCTGAACACCCCCCACTGGGGATATGCCCACAACCAAGGTATATGCCCTTGACCAGAATCGAACCTGGGACCCTTGAGTTTACAGGCCAACACTCTACCCACCAAGCCCAACCAGTTAGGGCAGTCCTGGTGATTTTTGAAGTTTTACTGCTACTGATAAAAAGCTCAAAAGTAATTTCTTTATTCATAAAACTATGATAAAATTCAGCCTTATTAATGAGATGGCTGTGGTTGCATTTCACCAACTAGCGTCTTGATTATTAGGGTGATGTTTGATATGATTAATATGACATATTTGCTGTCTTTTGACAAGTAAAAGTCCAGTTTAAGGAATGTACACTTTTATTTTGTTCACTAAGGGTACAGAATAGAGCAGCAGTCACCAACAGACATGTTGAAGGTTGTGTTCAGGGTTCCCAAACATGGCTGATCTTCAGAATTACCAAGGAAATTTTGTTTTAAAGTTGGTTAGGCCCTGTCCTTAGGTTCTGATAAAATGATTCTGGGAAACAACTCAGGAATCTGTACTTTCTTTCAAATCCTATTACATGATTCTGTTTACAGTTGTGTTTGGGCGTTCATATCTAGTTCTTTGATGAGAGATGAATAAATATATGCATAGAAATTGTTATTGTTATTTTTAAAAGAATGTACTCATTCTTTTTTCTCTCAAGTTATAGTGCTTCATGTCTCAATTATTTCTCTGACTAACTATTATATTACTCATCCTATTGGTGACATTCACCATATTTTAATCCTGGAAATAGATGTTAACAGCAATTCCCAAACATGCATGCATTAGAATGACTCAGAGCTTTATAAAAATATAATACCTGGCCCAACCCCAGGAGATTTTGATTCATGAGGTTTGGGTGGAGCCCTATAATTTATATATATTTTTAAAGCATCCAAGGTGATTCATATACAGCCATATGTGGACCAGAATTTGGTGACTGCTGGACTCAAATGAGCATGATCTCACTCACTCCAAAATAAGAAACAAATTCTATACCCTAAAAAGGAAAAGTGACTCTAGATAATTTATGATATCTGGTGCTGGTGGGTTTTGTGAAACAAGTATCACACGTGGCTGATGGCAATGTCAGTTTGTATGCCCCTTTCAGAAAACAGTTTGGGCCTGGCAGTTTTTTGGTAATTTAAGGAAATAATCTTAGAGAAGGCAAAAAAAACTTCTGCTAGATGCTCATTGTAGTATGATATAATTTGTAACAATTAGGATATAATCCCAAAGTTTAGAAACTGTTATATAAACTACGTTGTCGCTAATAATTGGGAATATAATACACCATAAAAATTATAAGTGAAGACTAGCCGCTCAGAAATGCTTATGACATAGTCTCACAATGTTTAAATCTTTGTTTAAAAGATTACATTGCAGTCGACCATTGAACATGCGGAGGTTAGGGGCACCGACATCCCCCTCCTTGCAATTGAAATCTAAATATAACTTTTGACTTCCCCAGAATTTATCTACTCATAATCTATTGTTGGCTGGGAACCTTAACTATAATAGTCAAGCAACACATATTTTGTATGTGATAAGTATTATCTACTGTATTCTTACAATATAATAAGCCAGAGAAAAGAAAATGTTATTCAGAAAACGATAAGGAAAAGAAAATATATTTACAGTACTGTACATATTGGGGGGAAATTGAGTATAAGTGGAACTGTGCAGTTCAAACCTGTGCTGTTCAGGGCACACAGATTAGTGGAGCATATTTTCATTTTCATTTTCAACCACAAGAGGTCCTCTTCCCCTCCGTGGCTTCTAGGAGTCCAAGATTGATCTCCTTGATCGGAAGGAGGATGTGAAGAAAAAACTGAAGAAGGCCTTCTGTGAGCCAGGCAATGTGGAGAACAATGGGGTTCTGTCCTTCATTAAGCATGTCCTTTTCCCCCTCAAGTCTGGTAAGACACTCCCTGTTCTCTTCTCAGAGGCCAGGCCGAAACAGCAGAACTAGTAGTGATACTACTACTTGTGATGTGTCACAGTCTTCCTCCCGGGATGGCTTCCCTGGTTCTCTGCTCTGAATTCACAAATATTAATAATGGTTGGAGTTGAAATACCATTTCGTTGTCCATGTGTTATCAGGTTAGATTCTGAGCATAGTGGGTAGCGGTGATAAAATGAGGGTGGGGGCAAGGCATGAACTAGAGGAATAAAAAGAAATGTAAGACGCAATCCTTCCCCTGAATTTGGATGCTAATTGGGTATACAACATGGCCTCGCATCCAATTTTAAAAATTAAAGCACCACACAAAAAAGTTCAAAATACAGGTATGGCAAAAACAACAGATAGCCATATGTTTGGGCTAGGAATGCTGACTCTGCCATCAGCAGTGAGTTTATTGGTGTGGATCCTTTTTCTTACAGAGTTTGTGATCCTTCGAGATGAAAAATGGGGTGGAAACAAAACCTACACAGCTTACTTGGATCTGGAAAAGGACTTTGCTGATGAGGTAATACCAGAGGAAGCATAATCCCCACTGAACTCATTCTTTCTTTTTTTATGTTTCACCCAAGGATATGTTTTAGAAGAAGAGAGAAAGAGAAACATCGATGTGAGGGAGAAACACTTATTGGTTGCCTCCCATACATGCCCCAACTGAGGACATCGAACCCACAACCTTATGGTGTATAGGATGATGATCCAACCAACTGAGCCACCCAGCCAGGGCCCCACTGACCTCATTCTGACAGACCTCTCTGTCTTGTCCTTCTAATTATGTATATATATATATATATAACCTGGATAATATATTTTATAGGTGTGTGCCAGTGGTGGTTGGCCAGCCTGCCTACTGGTTGAACTCCTGGTCAAGGGAACAATTTGCATATTAGCCTTTTATTATATAGGAAGAATATATAGGATATACACTGAGTGGCCAGATTATTATTCGTTCAGAGATCATTGGTAATGGCTGAGGTGAAGATTCAGAAGGTTGAAAGATTAGATGGGCAAACAGCACAAAGCTAATGTATTGGTGCCCTAATCACTCTCCAAAGGACTTAACCTGGAAGGAAGGACCAAAGCAAAAGGAAGCTTTTCAAGAACAGGTTTTAAATCAAGGCTCAAAAAGGAGACGCAGCCAAAACCGGTTTGGCTCAGTGGATAGAACATCAGTCTGCAGACTGAAAGGTCCCGGGTTCAATTCCGGTCAAGGGCATGTACCTTGGTTGCGGGCACATCCCTGGTAGGGGGTGTGCAAGAGGCAGCTGGTCAATGTTTCTCTCTCATCGATGTTTCTATCTCTCTATCTCTCTCCCTTTCTGTGGAAAATCAATATATATATATATATATATATATTTTTTTTTTTTTTTTTTTTTTTTTTTTTTTTTAAAGAGCCGAAACCGGTTTGGCTCAGTGGTAGAGCGTCGGTCTGTGGACTGAAAGGTCCTGGGTTCGATTCCGGTCAAGGGCATGTACCTTGGTTGAGGGCACATCCCCAGTAGGGGGTGTGAAAGAGGCAGCTGGTCGATGTTTCTCTCTCATCGATGTTTCTAGCTCTCTGTCTCTCCCTTCCTCTCTGTAAAAAAATCAATAAAATATATTAAAAAAGAGAGAGAGAGAGAGAGAGAGAGAGAGAGAGAGAGAGACAAATGTAAATGGACAGAATAGAATATACTATTAGGTTCACCAGACAGTTTATTTTATTGTTTTTTTTTATATACCAGTAAAACTTTTATTTATTTGTTTGTTTGTTTGTTAATTCTTTCTTTTAATATATTTTATTGATTTTTTTTTTTGCCTCCCTCCCTCGCATATATACCCTCCCTCCCCAGAGTTTTATGTCCATTGGTTGTACTTATATGCATGTAAACAAGTCCTTCGGTTGATCTCTTATCTCCCCCTGATCTTCCTCCCCTCCCCACTGTAATTTAACAGTCTGCTTGTTGCTTTACTGTCTCTATATCTGTCTTTTGGTTCATCAGTTTATAATGTTCTTTAATATCCATAAATGAGTGAGGTCATGTTCACCAGACAGTTTAGCAAGACTTACTCAGTGGCCATGTATTAGGCACCGTGTTAGGGGCTGGCAATACAAAGAAGATTACATCCTCATGGAGGTCATAATCCAGTAGGAGAAGCAGAGATATAAATAAATATTTCCTGTCTTACTGCCCAGTGAAGATATATGCATGGTCTAGAAATAAGATGGGAGGAAGTGATCTTTGTAGAAGGGATGGCATTCACTGTTTCACTTGAGGGGTAGGAATTCCTGAGGACATCAGTGAGGGAATAAACTGCAAAAACATGGTAAGATGAAACAGCATGCTATATACAAGGAAGCAGTGGTTTGATCTGACTAGAGTCTAAAAGGTGAGGTGGGACATTGCAGGCATGAACAGTTCATAAAGGAAGATGTAATAATAGTGTATATGGGGGGAAATGGGGAGTTTTGATTGACTCTGAAGTTGAGTCAGCAGTGTGATAGGGCTGTGTGAGTCTTGGCCTAAGTCATCAGAAATGTAGATCCTGGAACCAGCGAGATGATAATGCATTCCGTTCTCCATTGTTCTGAGGACATTTGGGCTTGCGCATAGACTTCAATATTTTTTGTCTTTTATTATTATTATTTTTAATGTATATATTTTATTGATTTTTTTTTACAGAGAGGAAGGGAGAGGGATAGAGAGTTAGAAACATTGATGAGAGAGAAACACTGATCAGCTGCCTCCTGCACACCGCTACTGGGGATGTGCCCGCAACCGAGGTACATGCCCTTGACCGGAATCGAACTTGGAACCTTTCAGTCTGCAGGCCAACGCTCGATCCACTGAGCCAAACCGACTCAATTTCATGTTGTTTATTTGGCAATCAAGGGTGTCTTCATGGGAAGAGGAAGGATACCACGATAGGCAACACACACAAAACCATGTCAATAAAGCACAGTTGAAAGAACCAGGCAAGTTTAGCTGAAAAGCAAGTATGGTTCCAGTCATCCTCAACTACATGAAGGACTCTCCTGGGTTAGGGTGAGGTTTCTTCTTGTGGCACCAGAGGGCTAATCCAGGACTTTGGGAGGGGACCACAGGGTCGCATGCTTAGGTTCAGCTTCAGAAAAAACTCTTATGACCTCGATTCTGTGGCAATGACAGGGCTGCTTCAGTTGACCTTACAGTCCCCACCACTGAGGTGTTCAGGCAAAGAACCACTGGAGGCAATGTTGTAGGAGGGTTTGGGTGTCAAATGGAAGAAAAGACTCAGTGATCCCTGAGGTCTGCGGGCCTTTAAGGCCCATTTTTTAGATATCTGACAGCCCATCAAAGATTCTCTGTCATCATTGATGTTTCTATTTCTCTTCCTCTCTGAAATCAATAAACAATGTATTTTTTAAAAATATATATATTTTATTGATTTTGTACAGAGAGGAAGGGAGAGAGGTAGAGAGTTAGAAACATCGATGAGAGAGAGTCATCGATCAGCTGCCTCTTGCACACCCCCTACTGGGGATGTGCCCGCAACCAAGGTACATGCCCTTGACCAGAATCTAACCCGGGTCCTTCAGTCCCCAAGTCAATGCTCTATCCATTGAGCCAAACCGGTCCCGGCTAAACAATGTATTTAAAAAAAAAAAAAGACCTGGGCCCTGGACAAGTCAGACAACCTTTCTGAACCTTTTCCCTTCTCTGCCCTCCCAGCGTCACAGGCTGGTTCTGATTGTGTGGGAAAACTCCCTGCAGCCTGTACAGACAATATTAGTAGATTGGGGTGTCCGGTGTCCTTTGCCCTGTGCCAATGTCATACCTCACCAGGCCTCATACACGTTTGCAGGTTGTACACCCTGGAGATCTAAAGAATTCTGTTGAAGTCGCCCTGAACAAGTTGCTGGATCCCATCCGGGAAAAGTTTAATACCCCTGCACTGAAGAAGCTGTCCAGCGCTGCCTACCCAGATCCATCGAAGCAGAGTAAGGCCAGTGGGGGAGGGGGAAGACCCGAGGGGGTGACATCACCTGGAACACTAGCCTGTCAGTATTCCAGACAAAGGTCTCAGAACAAGGTCTGTCCTAAAGGGAGGACCCAAGAAGCCAGGGATCTGAAGTGTAAAGATGTCATACCCTGTTGACTCCTGGAATGGCACTTGAGTCATCTTAGTTTTGATCTGGTGGATAGTGTGCAGTGACCATATCCTATTGTACCAGCACTGCTGGGAGCTGCTGGTGTAAGACGTGTCCTTAGGTCCCTTCACTAAATCCTCTTCAGTTAGACCATGACGGTGTCACAGCTGCTTAGGCCCAGCCTGCACAGCTTCTCAGGGAGTCACTCACTTCCCTTCCATGTCCCTCTGATTGGCTCTTAGTTGGCCAACCACTCCTCTCAGAAAAGACTCAGTTACTACACGTGGAGTGCACGAATGGAAGCACCTAAAGGTGGCAGAGCTACGACTGTCCACTCCCCTTTCCTCCCGCCTAATTACTGAGTAAGAATAGATGAAAATTTAGTGTGTCACTCCTCAAAGGATTGTATCACAACCCTGTTTAAAGAAGATATAACTCACAAGTAGCATTCGTAGTAAAGTGTAATTGATTAAGAAAATCTGGACTCCCACATCCTCTAAAAGTATTCAGGTCCTCAGTTCGCTACTTCCATGAAATCCTACATGACTAGTATATAATTCTGTAAATCTTTCCAGTAAATGTAAATAAGGAAGAAGGATTAAATGATTTGATTGATTGATAGATAGATAGATAGATAGATAGATAGGTGGATGAACGTATAATTGGTGGCTGGTGATTCTGCAGAAAGGCTGCTGGTGTGCTTTGGTCGGATCAGAAGTTGGCTTCCCATAGGGAGAGAGGACAGTTCTGACCCCTGGGGTTCTTCTCATTCCCAGAGCCAGTTGCCAAAGGCCCTGCCAAGAATTCGGAACCAGAGGAGGTCGTCCCATCCCGACTGGATATCCGCGTGGGGAAAATCATCAGTGTAGACAAGGTACTCGTTTTCACTACATTCCAGAGAGACAGATAGGGGTCAGGTTTGTCTGTTTCCATCTGGAGGAAACCTGGCCCGAGACGGGGAGTAACATCCCTGAGATCATATTGCAAGTCAGAACCCAGGTGTCCAATTCCAGGCCTCAGGCTTTTTTCCCTTTGCTGCCTCTGGACCTTATCAGCCAAACATAGCCAGGAACTCAGTGGGGGGCAGATGTTAGTCAGGGGGAACTTGTTGATCCGTGAAATCTGGTCTGATGAACTCACCTGGTCTCTACCAGTTTGTCTGGACTAGCTGCATTGTCTTAGGCCAGCCACTTAGTCTCCCAAACCAACCCCCACCATCAAAACACACACACACACACACACACACACACACAAAGGGAGGAAGACTTTCTTTTTCCAGAAACAGAAGGTTATGCAACCAGTGGCGGGGACCACTTGTTTGGGCTTTTTGTCCTCCCAGCATTGATTGGCTTTTCACTGTATAAACCCAACCACCAAAACAACTTTGAGAGCTGCTGGCGCTTCCAGATGGTGACACCAGCAGTATCCTCCTCCATCTCCCATTGCGCCTAGGACTCACCTGGTGCAGCTGTGGCCAGAATGGCAGCCGCCCAGATAGTCCATTTCATCTCTTAAGAGTTTCCTTCCACCTCTTACACAAGTAATTAGACTCATTTTACTCAAATCCCACCTCTTGGCCGAGAGTAGAATATACCTTCAAGATCTGGCCTCTTGTCTGCTATGGGACTTTGGAAAAGAGTACTAGATGGTCCCTCAAGAGCTTCTCTAGGGAGGAGACGCCCCTTCTGGAGCCGGAGGGCGAGCCAGGCCCCATGATCTATTCCATTGGGACACTCTGGGACCAACATCTCTTGCTGGCAGCACCCAGATGCAGACAGCCTGTATGTGGAGAAGATTGATGTGGGGGAAGCGGAGCCGCGGACTGTGGTGAGCGGCCTGGTGCAGTTTGTGCCCAGGGAGGAACTGCAGAACAGGCTGGTGGTGGTGCTATGCAACCTGAAGCCCCAGAAGATGCGCGGAATTGAGTCCCAAGGCATGCTTCTGTGTGCTTCCATGTAAGTGAGGGCTTGGGGCGGGGCGCAGGCGGGGGGGGGGGGAGGCCAAGGGTGAGGGGGAGGCCAAGGGTGGGTGGGCCCATGCAATGCCCCTCCACATGCCAGCTAGAATGAGAACACTGGCCCAAAGGTGGCGCATGGAGGAATTATTTCTTGTACAAGTACTATGAATGAATGAAGCACTTTACCTACAGTTAACTTTATTAACACAGAAATGGAAGGTTCAAAGCAGTGTGTACATGCCCACCTCTCACTAATAAGAGATGGTGCCAGGATTCACCTCAGTTCCGATGGGCTTTTAAGGCCTTGCTCTGTTATGTCATACTTCCTTCCAAAGGAGCCCAGATTTTGGTATCTCTCCTGATCTAGGTCTTCATTTAGCCCTGGTTAACCCAACCCTGATGATGTCCCCGAAATCCCAGTAGGGCCTCCATATGGAGGCTCTAATGCAGTGGTTCTCAACCTTTCTAATACCTTGATCCTTTAATACAGTTCCTCATGTTGTGGTGGCCCCCAACCATAAAATTATTTTCGTTGCTACTTCATTACTGTAATTTCGATACTGTTATGAAAGGTAATGTAAATATCTGTGTTTCCGATGGTCTTAGGCAACCCAGCTATTAAAGGGTCGCGGCATTAAAAAGGTTGAGAACTGCTGCTTAATGCTTTGATCTCATAACAGCTGGAGGCAACCTGTAGCTTCACTCTTTCCTTGTCCCACGTGTCTTTCCAGGGAAGGGAACAGCCGCAAGGTTGAGCCTCTGGACCCTCCCGCAGGCTCCGCTCCTGGGGAGCGAGTGTTTGTGAAGGGCTACGAGAAGGGCCAACCAGATGACGAGCTCAAGCCCAAGAAGAAAGTCTTTGAGAAGCTGCAGGTAAAAAGCTGCCACTGTTCCCCTTACCTGGGCTGCCTGGACTGTCCCCCCAGACTGCTCTGTACTGAATCCAAACCTGCCCCCTTCCACCTGGGCCTTTCTGCCTCTAAGCTCCTCCTCCTCCTTCATTCCAGACCTTTCTGAACGAGGTGCCTAAAGACCAAAGAGGCCCTTGTGAGTCTGAGCACCAACAGACTCCTTGAGGCACAGACAGTTCCTCATTTGAATCTTGTCTGTGATAGATAGTCCCCCTTTTACCTGGCAGGATACCTACCAAGGCCACACAGGGTCACCACAAGAGGTGGAGTCAGGATCAAAACCCTCCTGGGTCACTGTCACCACTCATTCTCTTCCCCTCCTGGGACACTGACTCATGTGTGGCCTGACCCTTGAGTTCATTCACTCAAAAAATATCCGGTCCCTAAGATATGCCAGGCACTGTTCTGGGTGCTTGGGCTACTACATCAGTGAATAAAACAGCAAAATTTCACTCTCCTCATGGAACCAACACTAATGGTTGGCTTTTTCTAGTTAAAAACTTGTTTCCTCATGCTTGCTTCACCAACACACATACTAAGATAACTTGTTTCCTCAATTAAATGTTTTCTGGCGGGCATGATGCGTGATTTCTACTTCTCCATCCTGCTGAATGTGCCAAATGGCTTCCTCCTCTCCCTCCTTTCTGGTTTTCCAGGATGGCTTTATGAATCACTTATTTTTCTCTGGCTACAAAATATATTTTCAACATAGATATGTATAAAATATAGGGGGAAAAGAAGGAAACAAAATACCCATAGTCTACCACCTAGAGATACTGAAAAATGTCATTAGTGATTATTTCCTTCTGGATATTTTCTATACATAGAGATAGTTACAGTTTGGGTCATAATATATGGTTTGTTTGTTTTTTAACTTGATGCCTGAAAAGCTTCGCTATTAAATATTGAGGGGGGATCTTATTGTGTAGTATTATATCATAATTATCATTATTTAACTAAATTATTTACCCTTAGTAGGCATTGAGGTGGTTCTGTTTTACACTATTAGAATGCTATGATGGATGTCTTGGTACATAGTTCCTCGCACTTATTCATGATTATTTTCTTAAACTAAGTCCCTAAAATGAACTTTGTGCCACTGAGTTGGCTCCGACTCGCAGTGAGTGACCCTATGAATCGGTGATGCCCACAGTGTCCTGTTCACTACAGCTCCTGCAGGCTCCTCTGGCTTCTTCTATGGCATCGAGCCTTCCCATACTCGGGCTTCCTCTTTTCCTGCTGCCTTCTGTTTCCCCAGCATTATTGTCTTTTCCAAGGAGCTGCCTTCTCATGCTGTGCCCAAAGTAAGACAGCTTCTTCCATCCTGTCATTTTTGCCTCCAGGAATGTTTCAGGTTTACCCGAGTCCAAAGATGAGAGCTCTTAGAAAAGTTAAGTCAGTTTACACTCTGGTGGTGTACGAGAATCTGTTTTCTTGCAGTTCCATCACCATCTCTATAATCACTTTTTGTTTCTTATCCAGGCTGACTTTAAAATTTCTGAGGAGTGCATCGCGCAGTGGAAGCAAACCAACTTCATGACCAAGCTGGGGTGCATCTCCTGTAAATCACTGAAAGGGGGGAACATCAGCTAGCTAACCTGCCTCTCCCGCCCTTCTCCCATCATCCTGAGTCATCTGTCTCCTCGGTCTGCGCTATCATCCGTTTACCCATCTCCCGGGACAGTGAAACGAGAAGTTTGGGGCTTTATCAGGCGCAGAACTTGCTGTGAGGCAGCTCCACGGCCCCAGAATCCAGGATCACCCCAGTCTGGCTGCAGTGGGAGGCCGACCTCCCAGGGAGTAACAAGGGCTGGGCAGCAGCAGGGAGGGTAGTCTACCCTCTTCCCTTGGCAGCTGACTTAAGAAATCTGGTTTTAATAGGACTCACAGAAAATGTTTATGCCACAGTCCTTCTAATTGGAAAAACACTGGTTTCCAGGTTTTCCTGGAATTATCCCAGCAGCTGTGCCTCTGCCGGGGATCTGATGCCTGAACTGTATTAATTACAGCTTCTCCCCAACAGGAAATTGTGGGATTTGAAAAGGGAAGGGAAAACAAGAGGACCTATCGGTCTGCCATGTGGTTGGCAGCATTCACCAATGCCTGCCAGCTCTAAGGCTTGGCACAGATGGGGCCTGCCGTGGACTCCTGGCATTTCCCTTGGTTCTGCTAGTTTGGGACAGTCCCTAAACCAGCTGTGTTAACAACAGAAGCAGGATGGATGGTACTGCCTGGTTCTTTCTTCACAGAGGATGGGGTACTTCTCCATAAGGCGTCTCAATCAGTATCACTAACCATCACGAATTCAAATAAAAGGTCTGGAAAAGGGTGTGTGGATGAGGCCTGTCTGTGAACTGGACAGCTCAGGAGAGAGGAACACAGCTGAGCCCCTGACTCTGTCCGGAGCTGCTTGTGTCTTACATTTCTGACCCTGTACTGGGTGGGGGGAGGGAAGAGGCGTAGAGGATGGAGGGTGAACACCTGACTCTCCCTTTGTCAGTGCTAAGCACAGGAGCTCCACTTTTAGGGTCCGATGTTTGCAGCGAGAACATTTCCCCTCCTAAATGTGGGCCCCCACCACCACCACGCCCCTCCCCCATTAAGAAGCAGTGGCCACAGCCAAGTCTTAATCATTTAATTAACACCTTTGAAACAGCTTTTCATGTGTCTCATTCAGGCTTCAGGACAGAGGGAATGGATTGTACACACATATCAAAGACTCAAAAATTTAAAGAAATATATATATATATACTTCTAACATTTTTAGGGGAATTAAAAATCAGAGGCTTTTGGTCTCTCCATTTGCACTAGATCAAGCTCTTTTACCCCGGAGGACAAAGAAGGGTTGCTTCTAGGTCCTCCCTTCTCCTTCGTACTCTGTCCCACCCAGTGGGGAAATAAACACAGAAGACTGACTGAGGGAAAGGAGCTTGGTAACATTGACAGCAGGGAGGGAAAGAGAATTTGGGTCCCCTCCCACCTCCAGCCTCTCCAAGGCTGCCACCAGGACCTGCTTCTCAGGGGCTTGGATCAGGAGCTGAGCAGAGCTATGCTTATTGACCATCTTTCCCCAACTCACTGGGCAGGCACAATGCGTCCCTAGCAGCAGCTTGCTACCCAAAGGGCGAGGGAAGAACTTTGGGTTACAGCTCCAGGGAGGGAGCAGTGAGCGAGGGCCAGAGGAACCTGGGCTCTCGTACCCCATCCCGTTTCTCAGTTCTTATTCTGGTCAAGCTCTCCTTGATGGAAGAAAAACAGCTAATGGCAAGGTTCCTTGCCAGACTCAAGCCTGGGTCACTGGAGCCATAGGGGCTGGGGAGGTGGGGGTGGGGATGGGGGGAGCCAGCCTCCCTGGATAGGTGGCACAGGCTGAAAACAGGAAGGTCCTTAAAATTCCTGGAGATCAGTAGCAGACACTGATGTCTGGGGGCAGTCACCCAGCCTGCCCCCGTGGAGCACTGAGTGCCCCCTCTATTGGCGAGGGAAGAGCCTGGAATAGAATGCACCTTTGGCTTCCCGTCCTTGTCACCCGGCATCAGCTCCCCCCAGTGGAACCACCTGGGCTGAAAGCCACTGCAGAGAGGACATGAACCCCGGCGAGGAAAGAAAGGCCAGGAAATGCAATCTGTAGGGCTGGGACCAGGCCCTCTGCCCAAATAAAGTCTCCCCCTGCCAGGCCCTCCCTGCATCCGCTCTGCAGTACTGACCAGCTGCAAGGGACACAGCCAGTGGGCTCCTGTCTGCAATGCTGTGCCTGCCCACCCCAGCCTCACCAGGTAAAACAGGAACAGGTGCCAGTGTCCCCCGAGATGACTCCCCATTCTGTTCTCTCTCAGGAGAGCCCGAGGACTCTTCTCTGGTTCTTTCTCTCCCCACTCATTTGGGCCCTGGCAGGCTCCCACTGTCCCCTGCACGGAGCACCTAGCATCGCTGGAAGGCAGGAGGGTGGTTGGTGGTAAGTTGAGGCACAGGAAGGCTAACCCTTGCTGCACCTTTTGTGCTTTGGAATTCCACAGCCTCGCTCCTGCCTCCAGCCTGGGGGGAATGCAATGATGTGGCCACCTCCAAGAACTCAGAAAAGGGGCAAACTGGATGGGAGGAAGAGGATGGTCCCAGCTAAGGGCTGGCTATGACATGCTGCTGCCATGTAAACAGGCCCTGGGAATGTGGCTTCAGGGGCCCTGGAGGATGGCCGTGCAGTCTCTTTTCAAAAGTGCTTTGATTCTGGACTACAGTATGTGCATGATTTGGACATTTAAAAAAGAAAACAAAAAAACTCAAGTGAGGTGTTCTGCACCCACTCTGGCCTCCGGGCCAGCATGGGGCACAGCCACCCGCTCCCACCAGCTACCTCCTTCGAGATGAGGCTAAGGCCAAGACTGATGTGGCAGCCGCCAGAGGTGACTCCGTTTGGGAGAAGGCAGGAGAGCTGGATGACTTGGAGGGCAGGGTCAACACCAGGCTTGCATAAGTGTTGAAGGCCGTGGAGGTTAAGGCTGCAGGCATCCTCTCTGTTGGGTTAAGCGTCTGCCGTATCCTCTCATCCTCGGAGCTGCTCAGGTCCCTGAGATTGTATTCCTGGGATGGGTCAGCAGTGCCAGGGAGGCGCCCGGTGGTTAGAGCAGCTCGCTCTGTGGGTCTGTGGGGGAAAGGGAGAGTCAGCAAGGGGCCTGGACAAAACCCAAGGCACATTCTTACCTCATCCCCCAACCTCAGTTACTGAACAGGCTAAGTGGCCCTGAGCTTAATACTTTACAAACATTCTGACACTGCCCACACTCCACAGTGAGGAGCTCAAGGCTAGGATGGGTAGATGAAACGGCAAAGTTGAAATTCAAACTTAGTAGTTCTGGCTACAAAGCCCCACACACTATAGCTCAGTTCACCCTTCTCAGGCACCCCGAGTCCTAAAGCCTTGAAGACCCAAGAGCAATCCCGATGTTGGGTCCCCTCACCAGCAACGCACCACACCCCCCACTGCCCACTGTACCTGAGCCGGGCGGCCCCAGCTTCTCCTCGAGGCCCACCAGCTGCACGCCTCCGTTCTCGGCCGGCTCCCCCTTAGTCCTGCCCTCCCCATGGGGGAGCCCGTTGCTCGGGAGAGCGGCAAGGGGCTCGGCCCGCGGAAAGCTGGGGGACGTGGGCGAGGGCACGCCCCCAGAGGGCTTGCGGGCCACGGGCGGGGGAGCCTTGGGGGGCTTCTTCGAGGACTGGGGCGGCCGCTGCTCCGAGATGCTCCGGAGTTCGGCCACCAGATTCCGCTGGAGGTCGGCCTGCTTCTCGGGGGACACGGGCCGCTCCAGCTGCAGCTTCTTGGTGCCCTTGGAGAAGATAAAGCTGGCCGTGGAGGCAGGGGACTGGGGAGACCGTGGCTCCGCCTCGGGCGGCCCATGGGGCTGGGCGTTCGCAGGACTCTCACTGGCAGCCCGACTGGAGGCCTTGAGTCGGACGGCGGCATGGAGCCCTGGGGAAGGGGCGGGGGCTGGGCTGGCCCGCCCGGACAGGGCCCTTCGTAGTGGCTTCTGGGGGGCTGATGGCCCCACGGCTGGGGTGGGAGCCACCGTGGGACCACCCACGGAACGCAGTCGAACCATCTGCAGGAGGGAGGGCGTGACCAGGGGCGCCCCGGCATCCTCCTTGGGGACCCCGTTGCCCTTGCTGCAGCCCACTGGCTCCTTCCGAGGGAGCGAGGCCAGCCCTGTGGCAGAGCCGGCGGAGGGTGCTGGCGGGGCTGGGGGATCTGGGGTACCACCGGGCTGCCTCTGAGGAGAGACAGCAGCTGAGAGTGGGTCAGCCAGGGAGTTGGCCAGGGCTGGGGGTTCTGAAGGGCCAGCCACAGGGAAGAAGGCCTCGTCTGGTGGGGGGAAGTCCGCCATGGACAGGTCCTGCTCCTCGGGCGCGGGGGGTGGGGGCGGGGGCCAGCTGGGATCCTGGAGGGGCTCCTCAGTCTCTGAGGCAGGTGGGGCCTCCTCAACCACCTCCACTCTCTTAGTGGGTGGAGGGGGTGGATGGTGAGATGGGGGCGGGGAGGGAGGGGGCGACTGGTCTTTGGAGGCAGCAGGAGACTCCAGAGCCGGAGTCAGGGGTGCCTCGGGGGTGGAAGAGGGCTCAGGACGGACATCAGCGGCAGAGACGGGCCCAGGGACCCGAGCAGGGGCAGCCGGGGCAGGGACAGCTTGGTTAGGGCTCTTGGACTTGGAGGGAGGCGGGGAGAAGGGGGCCAGCACCTTGGGGTGAGGAGGTATGACAAACCTGTCACCAAGGGTGGGCGCTATCTGGGGACCAGGCCGGTCTGAAGGGGCCGGGTCCGAGAAGGAGGAGCACAGAGAGGTGAGGGAGGAGGAGACAGAGGCCCCAGGAGAGCGGAGGGACGTGACCCGCTCGGGTTTGGGGGGCTGGACCTTGCCTGGGGAAGCAGGGGCCCCTGCTAGACCCTTGGGAGGGAGGGTGGGGGTACCACTTTGGCTAGAGTATCCGCTGGAGGGGGAGAGCGTCCGTTCCGGGGAGCGTGGGGCACGGCGGGAGCCGCCTGGAGACAGGCCGGGCACCCAGCTGCCGGCCGAGCTGGACGGACAGGGCGCCGCCCCGGTCCCCTCGGGCCCGCCGGTGGTGGGCGGCCGGGGCGCCTGCGGCTGCTGCTTGCGCTCTGGCTTGGGGGGCAAGCCCAGGGGCCCGTCGGGGGCCGCCGAGCCCCGCTGGCGGAGCGAGTAGGTCCGGCGGGGAGGCGGCGGGGCCCGCTTCAGCTTCCGCAGGGACACGCTCCGGCTGGACATCTGCCCGCCGCTCCGGATACTGAGCGTGTCCGAGGCCTCGGCCGTGCTGCCCCCGCTGGGCGAGCCCCGCCCGCTGCCGCCCTGGGTTGGGGGGGCCACGCCGCTGCTGGCCACGGAGCCCTCGGGCCGGCCCCCGGAGCCTCCCTTGGAGGACAGCGTGGAGCCGTCGGACACGATGGTGTCGGAGGACTGGGAGTGGCTCCAGGTGTCGCTGGAGGAGGAGGCGTGGCGGCTGCGGGGCGGCGGGCTGGAGGCGGAGGAGAAGCGGCCCAGCGAGCGCACGGAGGCCGGGCTGGCGGACAGCAGGCTGCAGCGGCTCAGCGTGCGCAGGCTGCAGCGGCCCAGCGCCACCACGTCCACCGTGGGCGGCAGCACGGCGTGCGGGATCAGCTTGGACAGGTAGGTGGCCTGGGGCGAGATGGACATGGCCGGGCTCAGGGGCTCCAGGGGCCCCGCCCCTCCCGTCAGTCCGGGCACCGCGAGGGACATGGGCCGGGGGATGGGCGGCGGCTGAGCCCCCGTGGACCGGCCCACGAAGGTGTCGTCCCGGTAGAAGCGCTCGATGTGGCGCTGCAGCATGGCCTCCGCCTTGGCTCCGGCCTCCGCCTCCGCCTCCAGCGCCTGCAGCGACACGCGGGCGCCGGCCCCCGGGGCCAGGCGCGCGGGGCGGCCGTCCACCGTGGGGATGCGCACGGCATCCCGGGGGCCCGGAGGCCGGGGGGTCCCCGGTGCCTCGCGCTCGTTCCGCAGGCCTGGATGGACAGGAAGGACCGGGGAGTCAGAGAGGGGAGGAAAGGGGGGGGGCTGGCCAGGGCTTCCCGTCCCCCACCTCTGCCCCCCTCGGCCGGGGCTCACCCAGTTCCTTCTGCACGTGCTGCGGCAGCCCCAGCACCGTGCTCCGCCGCTCCCGCCGCCTCCGCCCCGACTTGCCGGACGATTTGGGGAATGAGTCATGAGGTCGGAAGGTGGAGCCTGGGGGCCAGGGCAGGGAAGAGAGACCATTAGGGCAGGCCTCGGGACACTCCGCAGAGCAGGCCTTTTGTAGAATGTTTAGTAAGAACTCTGTGCAAAAAGACTTCCATAGTCAAGTCGACATGGGCAAAGCTAGTTAAACAAAGTCTGATGCTGCTTTTCTGGAAGGCCTTAACATTTACTAGGTCAATAATGATAATTTCCATTTAGCAAACACTTACAAAGTGTTAGCACACTGAATGCTTGGCATTCGCCCCAATAACCTAAGTACTCTAGTCTTGCTTTTTATAGACTATCAAGTGGAAGCCCAGAGAGGTGAAGGGCTGGCCCAAGGTCACACAGGTGGTAAGTAGCATCATCAGGCCCAAACCCAGGGTTCCCAACCCTCAGCCGTCCCGCTCGGCAGAAAATGTGCCTCACGACTCTCCCGAAGCACGCCGGGCACTGTGTTTCTGAGGTCACTGAACCACTAAGCCCTGAGGAACGCTAGACAGGGAGGCGAGGGGCAAGCTGCAGGCCTGGGGACCCAGGTGGCATCCGTCCCCCCTCCCATCCAAGAATCCCTGCTGGGGGGCAGACACCTTTGCGCTGGATCATCTCGGTGCGGATGGAGAGAGCATCCTCGGCCGTGGAGCTCTCGGCCGTGTAGGATGTGGTCTGGCTGCAGAAGGAGATGCTGTCGTCGTCCGGCCCCGTCAGGGAGGACTGTGGAGGGGAAAGGAGGTCAGGCTGAGACCACCGCAGAGGCCGGGGGGGCTGACCGCTGCCTCTTCAGCGCTCCCCCTTCTGACTCAGCTTGTCCCCAGCATCGCCTCGCCCTGAGCAGACAGCAGCTGGACCAGCCCCCTGGGGTCACCTACTCCAGCCCTTCATGACGCGGGCAGGAAACCGAGATCCCAAGGGGCTCAGAGACACACTTGCCGGAGGTCAAGCAGGGAGGGAAGAGCAGAGTCAGACTGAGCTGGGGCAGGGCTCACCTGGAGGCTCTGGGTGTCGCCATGGTCCCAGCCACCCTTGTTCAATCTCTGCTTTTCTGGAAGATACCGGAGAGTGTGTTGGGCTAGGCCTCTCCCCGTGGGGGCGGGGAGGAGCAGTGGCGGGGAGGGCAGTTACCTTGGTGCTGCAGGGAGCGGAGCCCCTCCTGGGCCTGAGTGTGCAGCTCCTCCAGGTGAGGCGGCCGTCCGCTGGGGAAGAAGACGTTGTCCTGGTGCTCGTCCCCCGCGGCCCCCGGCCCCTGGCCGGGCCCGACACTCAGACGCTTGTCGCTCTCAGCCTTGGCTGAGCCTGGGGGATGGAAGAGGGAGAGCAGTGAGGCCCAAAGGCACCTGGGTCCTGAGGATGCACAGGCACCAGACAAGGGCACTCACAGGGCCCCCGCACATACATGCAACGCCCCCTTCTGACAATCCAGGCACAACCCACCATCCTGGAGCATGTAGTCAGTACACACACCGTCCCGTGAGCGTATACAAACTACCTCCAAGCACACACTGAGTACCCACACCTCAGAAAGAGCCCCACAGGGCACCACACCCAAGGTACACAGCCCACTGTGTATGCACAGAACACCCACCGGCTTCCATATGCATACAAAGCACCCAAGTATAAATCTGTGTACACACATGGCACACAAGGGCCCCACAGAGCACACCCAGCCCCCAAGTATACATACAACACCCGCAGACCCCATTCTATACATATACAAACAACACCCAAACATACATGTAACTGTGTATCCTCATGTCACTCAGGGCTGCAAGACACTGAGTAGGCATACAGCCCATAGCAAATACACTTCTCTGATCTCCAGACCTCAAGCTCTACTTTATAGGGAGAAAAAAAAACAAAAACACCCTTTTCATACACATCCTGGCCCAGGTCCAGGCAGAAGAGATCATGGGACACTAGGAAGAGATGGGGGCTAGCAGGAGTCATAACCAGATCACCAAGAGGGACAAACCAGGGATATGGCCTCTTGGGTCCCCTACTCACCCATGTGGCTGTCCGTTAGTGGGAGGATAAGCAGGGTAAGGGAGAAGAGGGACCCGGGCCTCTACACCCCCAGAAAGGAAAGCTCCAGCCTCTCTTGGGAGAACAGTCCTAGGCAACCCCCTCTCCCGGAGCCCTGTCCCCTACAGAGGAGCGGGAGATCCGTTACAAACGATCCTGTTACAGGCCCCGCCCATTGGGAAGTTGGTCACCTAATCCTGGGAATGGGGGGGCTGTGTCAGCACTTTGCAGCTCCAGCCCCCTTTAAATGGAACCCACAGCACAAGCAAAAGTGCTGGGAGGGTCATGTGACCCTGGCAGCACCCTGGAGAAGGACAGGAACAAAACAAGCCACGCCCAGGGACCAGGGTCCTTAGTTCAAGCACCTGCCGGTTCCTCCGGCCCCAGCCCATCTTCAAGGTCAGCTCCTGGGAATCCACAGGAGTCCCCCCAGGTCAGAGCTAGGTCTCTCACTCATCCTTCTGCCTAATCCCATCCCAATTTTATAAATCGGAAAACAAGAGAAAAGGTCTTGTTTAAGGTCACCCAGCAAATCACAGTCAGACTGAACTCCAGGACTAAACACCAGGTTCCCAGTAGGGATTCGTGGGTCACACTCAACCTGGGGGTCCTCTAGCCCCCTTTCCCCCCCAAAAAAAAAACAGTCCAATAAACTCTGGTCTCCATGTCGTAATCAGGCCTGAAAGCCCAGTTTCTAGGACAAGGAAGTGGGCATTGGTCCCTCCTTCCAAAACTTCACCCCCAGCCTCTACGCAGAATTCCACTATCATGCTCTCCAACTTCCAGCAGTAGTTCCCCCCTGGACTCTGCTCCCCACATTCCTTCCTCCCAGACCCAGGACCCAGGAGGGGGTGCCCTTCCTCTTGGAACTGAGGTGCTGGATGGACCCAGGAGAACCTGGGTCCCCTGGCAGGGAGGCTGTCTTGCTCTAGGGCTGCAGGCTTCAAGGTTAGACACCTGGATCCATCCTCCCACACACGAGCAGAGCCCAGACAAAGGCAGCAGCACAGCGGCTGGACAAAGGCTGGACAGGGGGCCTGGCCTCATTCCTGGCCCGCTCCCCCACCGATCACCGTTCCCCAGCCCTGATCCCCCCCCATTCTACTACATCAGGGTCTGGCAAACGGAGTTGTGGGGGAGCCGTCCTCTCCCCCCACCCCACCCCCAGCCACACCCACTCACCCTTCTTCTTAAAGAGCCCGAGGAGCGCCGGGAGACGGCGGCCCAGGAACACCACCATGACTGCGGGCCACTCAGACGTCCCCACCCCGACCCTCCAGGATGCAGGGACAGCCTAGCACTGAGGGATGCGGCCGCCTGTCCGCCCAGCTGCGGAGCGCCGGTCCGGGCGGAGGCGAGGGGGCGGGGCTGCTCGCAGGTCCTCCTCCCACCTTCGCCGCTTGCCCCGCCCCTCTCCTGGCCACGCCCCCCAGTGGAATCAGGGGCAGGAACCCTCCCAGGCTCACAGCCTGTGGGTGCTCAGCTCTGGTGGGCAGTGTGACTAGGAGGGCTGACGATACTCCATCCAAGGGGCAGGCCAGAAACCCTGTCCCCAGGTCTTTTCTAAACAGTCGGAGCCAAAGCTAAGGCAGGGCTCCAGCTGCCAGATGGCAGGCAGAAGAGGCACTAGACCAGACCTGGCATGGTGCCCACCCCAGGCCCTCCTGGCTGGTGAGGGCAATTCCCGAGGGAAGGAGCTCAGAGCATGGAGCAGCCAGGCAGACCAGGAATGCCTGCGGGTGACACCCGAGGCGAGGGCAAGGCCATGACGGAGGCCCCTGCAGAGGTGGAGCAGCCTGGGACACAGAACTGGGCGGCCGGAGGTGCCCATAGTGGCATCACCTTGCTGGCTGTAACCCTCACGTGTATGTGCAGCCCCACACTTTCCTTCCCACTTTGGCAATGTGACGTCAGCAGCCCAGAGCCGCACTGTGAGCTCTCTAAGGTCACACAGCAAAGCAGGCCTTCAGCGCAGACTTCCCATCGGCCTCCCGCTGTGACTCAGTGACTCTGCTGGATCGCCAGGCAGGGAGAACGGAATTAACCAAGAAACAGCTCATAGCCCTAACTGGTTTGGCTCAGCGGATAGAGCATCGGCCTGCGGACGCAAGGGTCCCAGGTTCGATTCCGGTCAAGGGCATGTACCTTGGTTGCGGGCACATACCTAGTAGGGTGTGCAGGAGGCAGCTGATCGATGTCTCTCTCTCATTGATGTTTCTAGCTCTCTATCCCTCTCCCTTCCTCTCTGTAAAAAAAAATCAATAAAATTGGAAAAAAAAAAAAAAAAGCTCACAGGTGAAGGCAGTAAGGACAGCAGCACTTTGAGGGAAATTGGGTCCAGGTTCAAATCCAGCTCCATCACACACAAGCCATGACCTCATAGAGAAACAAGGCCAATAACTCCTCCTTATACAATTATTGTATCCATTCATTAGATCAGCAACTATTTATTAAGCTAGTCCTGGGGGTATACCTAGTGGGAACCATTATTCTGTTCACCAGTATATCCTCAGTGCCTAAATTCGTGTCTGGTACATATTGTAAGCTCAATGAATATTTGATGAACTGATGAATACAAGGATGAGGTAAACTAACAACATAATTTTATTATTTTATTTTTTAAAAATATATTTTTATGATTTTTTACAGAGAAGAAGGGAGAGGGATAGAAAGTTAGAAACATCGATGAGAGAGAAACATCGACCAGCTGCCTCCTGCACACCCCCGACCGGGGATGTGCCTGCAAACAAGGTACATGCCCTTGACCGGAATCGAACCTGGGACCCTTCAGTCCGCAGACCGACCCTCTATCTGATCGGTCTGGAGGGACCAAAACTATCAGGCACAGCCCTCCCACATGCAAGTCCAGATTAGCTACAAACCAGATTTGGCTAACAACATAATTTTAGAGAGTGGGGGCTGAGGACTGTGGCAGGAAGGGGGTACCTTCAGAGGGCATCAAGGAGCGCTTCCCTAAGGAAAGACCTTTGGGACTGAGATTGAAGGAGAGAAGGATGGAGGCGGGCATCAAATCCTAAACCTGAATTACAGACACTCAGATGTGTTGGAGAAAAGTATCGAAGCCTAGAAACTGTGACTGAGAAGAAAATTTCCCAGTCTGTGTGCGGTGTCCTGCCAATCTATTTACACAAAATAAAAGATTAAGACTCAACTTGGCAAAAAAAAAAAAAAAAATGCAGAGAGAAGGAGCCAGCCAGCAAAAGTACAGAGCCCTCTAGACAGGGGCATCCATCGGCAACTATAAGACCTTGAGGCAGGAGTGGTGGGATTCCCAGAGCAGAGCAGGGGTGGCTGGGACATGGTGAGCGAATGGAGGAGGTGCGAAGAGGGCAGGAGCCAGATGTGGTAGGGCCCCATAGACAGGCCTTGGCAGAGCCTAAATTTTATTCAGAGCCCAGGAGGCTGGTCAATAACAGTAAAGGCTGGTCAGTAAACATGGAGGCTAAGCTGGGGAACGACCCTGCTAAGAGAGATCCATCCCCCTGGCAACTCCAAAAGGTGTAGAAGAGGAAGTCTGTGAGCTACAAAGTGCTGCCCACCCCTCCGCGCCCCTCCCACAGCATCCTCTCTGAGTCCCAAGGGACTTTCGGATTCGCTTCAAGACCCCCCTGGAGCCCCTCCCCCCTTTGCTGCCCCACCTCTGGGAGGGCACTCAAGCAGATGGTTGAGCCTTGCCCTCTGGAAAAGAAAACTTCTGTGGAGCTGGGTAGCATAGATGCACCAATCACTGAAATCTAACAACCCCATTTTACAGATGACGAAATGGAGGCCGGAGAGGGCAGGGCAGCTCCTGCCCTCAGGAACGACCTGAATCCAAAAGCCATGCTCTGTCCGCTGTGTCCGCTACAAACCTATGTCCCCCCTGCAGAAGGGCCCATCACCATACACGTGAGGTTTCTTGACCATATCCTTCCCTCTTCCCTCCCTCTGATGCCAGACCCATCCACCCCTCTTATCAGTCCCACCTGACCGGAAAAGAGCAGTAGACCAACCCTCGCAGGGTGGCAAATTCATGCCAGGCACTGTGCCAGGTGCAGGCGGAGGCACAGCCTCTGCCCTCATGGATCTTACTACCACCTCAGTCCTCTGGGGCAGGTCCCCTCCTGGTAGCTGACCGTGGACCTGTGAGGCTCAGGGAGCTCGGTGCCCTCCCAAGCTCTGGCTGGCTCCAATACCGAGCCTGGAACCACGCAGGGCACAGTCATCCTCAGCTTCCTCCCAACCAGGGAAAGCAAAGGCCGAGCTCCTACTCA